CAGCAATGCGAGCTGAGGCCAAATGAAAACATTTTTTAGATATACAGTATTTAAGTTATTAATACGGTAGTTTATTACCGTGTGGTTTTTGGGGCAAACCATCGATAAAATTGTTGAACCAACTTAGAATCAGCAATTGATGGTTTTTTCTATGTGACGATGTGGTAATTCAAATTTCGGATCGGCGGTAAATAATTAATCTAAATGAAAATTTTACATATTTGCTCCGCACCCCTATACCATCGAACTACAAATATGCTTCAGAAACCTTGAAATTTCAGTTTTAGAAAAATGTTTTGAACGGACAAGTACTGTATCTGTTGTCAATGCCTTTATTGATGTGACCTAACCCAATTTATTTTGTCCATTACAAGATGATTTTGAAGCAAAACAGGATGGGATTGCATCAGTAACCTCAAGTGCATCTTTAATCAAATAGGGCCAGTTGTTCATTTAGTAACTTGAAGCACATCCTGATCCAAAATGGGACATGGCTAACCACCCAGCAGCTATTAATCTGAGAGCAATTTCGACCCATCTAAACCAATGATCTCTTACCTTTTTGGGTCTGCAGACCAGCAAACTTACATAAAATTTGTTGCAGACTGGTAAATTTTAAAAATAGTTTCTGTGGACCTGCAAAGCTTCATAAGATTTTTATGGACTTGAAAACATTTTGCTTGATAGAGTTTATGATTGATATAAAATGTTCTTCTTCTTTCAAAAATTAAGTTAAGCACCTCTGAAGCCAGGATAGCTTAATGTCATTAAATACTTAGAAATGTGTGCTTGAAGAAAGGTTTCTCAGAATGAAAAATTAACTAATTTTTTTTAGCTGATGAAAAAGCGTTTGAAGTGTATTCAAGAGAAAAATCAACTTTAATTTTTCATCGAATGATTTCAGCTGTCATTGTCTTTCCAAAGTTTTAAATAATGATAACAGAGTTCATTGCTACTTTTAAAAAGTGTGCTATTCTCAGAATTTCTCTCAGAGAGTCCTCAGACTGGCAGAAAAACGTCTGCAGACTGGCGCAGGTCTGTGGACCACAGGTTGGGGAACACTTATCTAAACTACACAATGAGGAGCATGATGAACTGAAGAAAGGTTGCATTTAGTAGAACAAGGTGACTCTTGACTACAAAGGAAGATATTATATGTAAGATATTGTATCATGATTTGAAAGGGATTTGGGGAACAACAGACTAGGATCCACCCCAGAAGCAAAGAAAAAGGCTTCCTGGGCATTTTTGTCACAAAAATTTTTCTAACCTTAAAAAGAACCCCCTGCAGTTATGCATGCTCCGGCATTATCATATCCGAACTGTATTTTTTTTTCAGGCACCAGTTTGTGTAATTAATTTCTGGCACTGCTGCCCAAGTTTTAAAATCATACATATGATGCCCATAAAATGCCCATCCAATAAAACTTTGATGCCAGTGGCAGTCAGATGATATTCCTGCATACATTATTTTCAGGAGCATCCTCACGTCCTCAATTGTTATGCAACATCCTCATTATTCAATGCCAGCTTGGGTTCGATTTCAACAGATGTTTCCAAGATTTAAATGGTGTAGCCAAATACGCAGGGAATGAATAAATATTAAACCTCTCCCCTCCACCGAGCAGGACAAGCAAGACTGTTACAAAAGATTGTCTTTACAAATGGTTACAGAAGAACCACTTCCAGTTTCCCATCATCCTTTGTATTAGGTTTGTTTATCTGGAAATTTTATAACTGCTCCAAAAAATATTTGTGGCAAAACGAAAATTACTGTTGAACTTCACAGCATATATGCAGGAATCTTTGGCTCACGGGCACTGTAAAATCTCAGTAAGATATTTAATTTCTTGGGAATGCTTGCGCAAAAGGTGTCGCAAATGCAATACGTTATCCTTTTAAATTGATAATTCACATCATTTAGTCTATAGAATTTTTTCCACGAGAGTATTGTGCTTATTTAACTGGAAATTCGGTTAAAATAGATTTTAAATATAGTTCTCCCAGGTGCCACTGCACCAAGCAAAAAATAATTGCCCTGAATGCACACAAATTTTAACCTATCTGGAATGTACAGCACATAATTATAAGTATTCGAAATTAAAGAGAAACGCGAACTACGTGTCGTTGCCGTATCAATTATAGGTACTCAAAATTTGAAAGGGACAATATAGCACACTACTCTCAGAACACAAATAATTGCGGTTGAAATTGCATTTCTCTTGCTGAGCTTTCTGCTCTTCCCATCATGCTCTTTTCCTTGCAGAAAACGAAAGATTCCAATCAATTGCGAATATGCTGGGGCAATATGAGTGATGTTACTCATCGCCAGAAGTTTGTATATACTGCATATATATATATATATATATATATATTTTTTTTTTTTTTCTTTACCATCGACTTCAGCTGCTGCGGTACAAAATCTCTCGAATTGCATCCCTTGCAGAAAGAGGCCCGACAGCACAATCTCATTCCTGCTCCTTCAGAGTATATAAAGAAGATAAAAGCTTTCCCTTGCCATTTTTGCAATTGATGGCGCTAAACTCATTTTTCATTGAAGCAGAAATGTGGGAGAGCAGCTTTTTCGTCCGTATCCGCCAGCTCCATATACACACGCTCGTGTACAGCGGGCACAGGAAGCGAATTCATCCCTCCTTTTCCCTTGAAGAATACAAATACGGCACACAGCAGACCCTTGCGAATATTCTGTCCACTCCACGTGCCTGGCTTTTGTTGTTAAAGGATGTTGTCATGCAAATCACTCCCTTTCTTTGCAGCTGGTGTATGAGACCATGCAGTATATCACGTGTGTCCAGTGTTCTTTGTTTGATAATGTTGAATCCCTGCTCCTGTGCTGATGCTGCCTGTATATGGAAGACCTTTTGGAGCATGGGTCATGATATAGGCTTTTGTATATATTGTAGTCTTCTGGCTGCTGCATTGCATCATTTGCCATGTTCCAACCAACATGCAGAGGGTGTACAGCATTTCTTATTCCCTGCACAAGATGCTGTCTGTGTCTCATCTAGGAAATTTTCAGCACATTATTCTGCATACATCTTAATCTTGATGGGACACTTTTCTTTCATGCACAGGTTCCTCACTACTGCAGGTGGTACCTTGCAATTTGACCTCCTTCAATTAAATCATCCCACAATTTGATGGTCAGATTTTCAGGGAGGTTGACTTGCAATTCAACCCTTGCCCCGCAATTTGACCTCCTTTTTCCAGTATTTGTGTGTTTTTGTGCTGAAATTCTGAAATTTCACAGAGTGTCTCATAATTTGAATGATCCACAATTTGACCCTAGTTTGGCAATAGCTTTAGGTCAAATTGCAAGGTACCCTCTATATACAGTATATGAAGAGAAATGACAAATTACCCCATGAAAGATTTGGCATGGAACAATCAACCTTGTAACGCCCAAGTCTAGTGGAAATAGAGAAGAAAAAATTTAGTACATTAAAAAATTAATCTAAAAAACCACGTTTTCAAAAAGCAAAAAATAACCTTAAATGTGGTGCGCATCTATTTCATTTGTATTTCACTTCTTCCCAACAATCTCCATGCGCACCACGTTTAAGGTTATTTTTTGCTTTTTGAAAACATGGTTTTTTAGATTAATTTTTTAATCTACTATAATTATTTTATTCTTTTAAAAAAATATTCTTATAATTTTTCTTTTCACAAAAGATTGCATTGTCATCAGTTTCTAAGCTATCCTGAAAGTTTCAGCTTGCTAGCTAGTCGGGAAGTTAGCAAAATTTGAGTTGCAAAATTTGATCCGGACAAACAAACAGACAAGAAAGCAAGTTAATAAAAACGTGTTAAAATACTACACATTGCAATGGTGAGACATGGGATGGTCTTGTCTTCAATAATTTTCTTTGCGTGGTATAATGCATTTTTGGTCCCATACGGATCTTTCCTAAAGTTATAGGGCAGGGGTCTTCAAGATATGGCTCATTGACTGGATGGGGCCCATGATGGAGCATTCTTGTCTCGTCCGTGAGGGTCATCCCATCAGCCACCTCACACCTTAATTTTGAGAACCTACAGGTCAATATGACTCTCAAATTCAAACTTATAGAAATTCTTGAGAAATCTGTTTGACAATTCCAGTGGACCACTATAGCTTACACTGCAAACAACTGCAGAAAGTGTACATTTTTCTGAACCCTCCACCTGAAATTGAAATTTAAACTATTTAAATGTTAATTTAAATGAAAACTAAATGTTTTCATTAATTTAGTTTGTGTGACTGTTTGATGACACTTAGGGCTGTGAAAAAGAAAACAGTTTGAAAGATAATTAAATTCGGTTTCATTTGGTGCTTTTTTCATTGTTGTAGCTTAATTTTGACATAGACGATATCCTAATTCAAAAATGCGCTCAATTTTTGGGCCCCACCCTGTACATGAACAGGATGCACAAGAATGAATGATGTACTACTGCAAGCCCTCACAACTACAGTACTTGCATGCTTTCCTGTATGCTAGCATAGAACAGTTCGAAAATGTGTCATCTGGCTCTTAAAGGGAGCGAAGCTCCAACCACACTGGGAGAGAAGGAAAGGCTTCTTATTTAAGTACAGTACAGTATTGCATTCCGAACAGTACAGCGCCCAGAACGTTCGGCGATCCTTTTTTGTTAGTACGCTGTGCTGTTGTACTAACCACTTATCCACCAACTAGTACTACAGTGTTCAGTTTTACGGTTAATTTTATGCTTTGATAGATGTCACTAGATTCATGTGGGGGTCCAAAAAAAAAACCGTCCGGTTCACCGAACGCACACTAGCGCCGTGGTTAAATCGAGTCCTCAACAACGACATGGCCGCCCCAAGTGCAGCGTTACTCAGATGCCGTCGCTGGATTATCCGGCGAAATATTCGGAGTTTCGGCTACCGTGTTTGAGTTACTCGTGCGAGTAAGAGTCAAATGTGAATTCCTTGGTTCTAGTCATGAAAGTTTTTACGTGGTGTATGCCGCACGGCCCCCTGATTGTTTTTGTCTCCGTAGAGGCCCCAAGTTATGTCATTCTCTTCTGGTCCATAGTGAGTCGTGCATGATTTCGCACACTAGATTATGAGTGCGACTTCGCGATCTGAACATCGCGAAGTTCATTGTCCAGCTAATTTGTTGTCCGCCCAGATTGCTGTTAAGAATTCCATCGCGATCGGCTCTTCTCTTTTCAACTGGGCTAACGTGCCTGACCTTAAGTCGATTGTCTCGGATGCCGTAAGCTACGTTTTTGGGAAAACAGACTCCGGTGTTCCACCGCCGCTGACGACGGTGGTTGCAGTTTACTTCGAACTGGTTGATCCGGTGGGAAGCTTCGTTCGCCGCCCGGTATGTCAACCTTATCTGTTGAGAATCTCTTGATTTTTCAACGCAAGTTTCTCTTGTTGCCAAGGTGAGCGCTGTAACGCCAAGTATCACGCAGACCAAACCTCGAGAAGGTGCCTCAGGTTATGTCCCGAATGTCCAACTCTCTTGTGCGAATCGGGAGAAGAATAGGACTGTATCCGGGAAAAGGCCTACTGCTAGGAAAGTTCTTTGTACAGGACTTAAGCCAGAAATTGCAAGAGATTTTCCGAATGATTGTATATCTCGGTTCGGACGTAAGAATCGGCCGAGTTGCGACGATCCGATGGAATTTTTCAAGCGATGCATCGAGGAACCGTATTCGCTTGAGAAGCTTATTCGAATTTTTGAAGCCTTCTGCCTGTGCAGTCGGGAGGAATTCATGAAATTGCTCCATGATCAATCCTCGTCGAACTGGTTGTTCTTTTACCGACGATTACTTCAGCAGTTGTCTCAACTTTTAAAACTTGGGAATGGACTTCGGTTAGTGAATGTTTGCAATACGAAACCTGCGCTTCGGCCGTCAGCACCATGTGACGAGCTTTACAGCCAATCGAATCGCATTCGACTCCAGAAACCTGAATTCGCTGAATTCAAGAAAAATGACCTTCAAATTGCGCGGGATGCAGTGAAGAATAGCTCAGAAAAGATCTGCAAGTATGCTGGCTGTGATGGAGGAGATTTTACGTGGCCTTCTTCTGGATCGACGCCCGTCGATGACGGATCGGTTATCGAGAGCGATCTTCTTTTGCGGAATATTTCATCAAATTGTCGAGATATTCTTCACATTCCTATGCGTTTGACTTCCGCGGACTTGAGCGCAGCCGAAGATGTCCGCATTGAATTTCAATTGACGATGTTCTAAGCTTTGATCATCATCCAACCCAAAAAAAAGTTGGCCAACGTGTTCATTATATATTTTTGTTTGTTACATGCTCACTGAATTCTTGTGCAAGGTTCGTGTGTCGCGATAATTTTTCTGACTCACTCATACTTTTTGCACTCACCGTTATGTTGTAGCGTGAAATGGATGACTACGACATTAAATGGAAAAATCATGCGGTGGAGACGATTGACGTTGTGAAACGTTTACGCGACCAAGATGCGTTCTTGGATGTATGGTTGCATTGTGATAGTGATGGCAAATGTCTCCGAGCCAACAAAACCATTTTGGCAGCATGTAGCGCGTTTTTCGAGCGCGTGTTTGTTGAAATCAGAGCGAATGATATTGCCTCTTCTCCTGTCGTCGTCTTGAAGGACATCCAGGTCAGTTACGTATAACTGGTTGACGTTGGCTTGAAGACTAATTTTATATAAATTGATAGTCGAGAATACTGAGACATGCGCTCGACTTCATGTACTCTGGAGAAGTTATGGTTCCTTCTCACGAACTGACGGATTTTGTGCATGTTGCCGAAATTTTGGAAATCCGAGGTATGCAGGGAGTGCAGTCAAGTCTTGGGGAGATGGATTCCCGGGAACATGGCAAAGTCCCTGTGAAAGGCAAACGACGTCGGCAACCCTTGAAGACCGCTGTAACTTCGAAAAAGAAGAAAGCCGAGGTTGATCCAGTACGGGAGATGAACGACGACGATCCACTCGTCAATCACGGGGTATCGGATCAGCTTCTGGAAGAACTCAAGGCCGTCGCAGAAGACGCGGAATTCGAAGACCTCGAGGATAGAAACGTTTGTCTTACATTCAGTATGATATTGTTCGATGATTGTTGCACATTTCATGATAAATTGTAGGTTGATGCCGACGATCCCGTGCCTGCAATCATGTTGGACGCACCGCCACAGAACATTCCAGATGAGATTTCGGCATCGGTATGTTCCACTGGTGGCTACTACGCATATTTATTAGCGAATCACCGTAACAATCGTGCGCTTTTGTTGGGCGAATGAGTGCTGATTGACTATCGCTTTCGGTATTCGAAGAGATTGAGTTCACGCAACAGAAAAGAAAAATTTTGGTCATGTACACTATGATGATCCGTGAAAGAAACCTGGAGTGGTCTAAAACTGTTGAGGAGCTGTAGTTCTCGAGTCTTCCCAAGCGCACGATCTCATACATCCTGCAGGTTTTCTCTTGGGAAATATACTATCGATTGAACCTAAAATGCAGCATCTTCGGTGGCGATGAACGAAGTTACGAGTCTTCTTGACAAGAACGCTTGATCGTAACGAGACTTTCTGTGTTCCGCATTGAAGCATGTTACTGTTGAGCAACCTTTTTGACAGGATGTTTTCCCTTTGAAGGAATACTTCATTTTGGTAGCGAAGTGTGAATTGATAAAAAGTGACCTGAAGGTAGAATCGTTTGAAACCAACCTCAACATTTGTTCGAAGATTTTGAGAAGAGTACATGAAGAAGAAATACCGAAAATTGTAATCTGTGTTGTTGTGGGCCTTAAATTGCTACCCGAATGAGTTGACAGCATGCTGAACTGCGATGCAAGGATTCACTCTCCCCATTATTTTTCTATTTCCTTTCGAAGTACTCTGAATTACAATTTTATTGCTTTTCTCCTGCCTATGTTAAAAAAATGATGGTTGGTAGGTCTGCAGAAAATGCAAGCTACTGAGGTTTGATGAGGAAAGCGTTTGAGATAGGGAGGATTTTGATGAATTGTTTCTAGGGGAATTCAGACTGGGATTGGCAAATAATTCGACGTAGGTTTGAGTTATTAGTGTTCAACTGTATAATATTTAAGTGTAGGTAGGTTTTTTCGTCATTTTCAATTTGCCGTCTTTCGAGTGACGAACTATTCGTGGTATGTGGCAGTTGGGCCTCTGTTCGCGTGCGCAGACGTACTGTTCAAATCTACCGTCTAAGATGGTCTTGTTCGAAACTCTCATCAGGATCCGATTGTTCGGAAGGCCGGGCATATGTGGAGGGGCAAGCGGAAGGACAACCGAGGTACCGTTTTCTTTTGCGAGATTTGTGGCCATATTGCGACCAAATCCACGCATGCCCAGGATCACAATCGAGTGCACACGGGGGAAAGACCATTTCGCTGTCGTGTGTGCGATCGGTCCTTCACTCAGAAGTCACACAGAAACAAGCACGAAGTGACGATCCATGCAACGACCGGCGGAAAGTCAGCATAGCAGTTGTCGCGAGTCAGTTGCACATCACTGCGACATGATCAGTTTTCGTCTTCCAAAGCTTGTTGTTCTTGTTATATCATGAGCTCATGCATACTTCCGTCGCCAAGAAAGTGCTGTGGAATGTGGAAACCTTTTTCAGAAACGTTTTGTACAGTTGTTCGCTACTGCTGCGTTGTCGAGCTGTTGAGGACGTGTATGGTGCGAAACCGTGGCCGTCGATGTTGGCCACGGTGTGAAAGCTTGCTCAGGATTGTGTACACGAAAGCATGTGTGTATTGATTTTTTGTTCCGCGATTGCACATGGACGAAATACGGTTTGACTGATGTTTCAACCAGCTCTCCATTTCCTCTTCAGGTGCTCTTCCGCTCTTTTCTGTTGATATTTTTTTTCTGAAGTGGCTTCAGTTTCACAAATTTTCTTTCTGAATTCGAGTTCCCCGAACTAGTCACAAAATCTAGTCACAAAAATGGTGAGTCTGACGAACTAAATTTATCGTCCCGTTTTCAACTTCCGCTTGTTTTTTATTTTATTCTCAAAGGCATCCGGAGTATCCGTTGCAGACGTGTGCAAAACACTGTTTGAGGAAATCAAAAAAGACAAGAAGCACCGTTATGTAATATACTTCATCAAGGACGAGAAACAAGTGGACGTGGAGACGATAGGTGAGTGCACGTTGAAAACTTGATTTCGATTACGTTATTGTTACAATGAAATGTCTACATAGGTGGCCGTGAACGCTCATATGACGATTTCATCGACGATCTGCAGAAGGAAGGTCCATCCGAATGTCGATATGGTGTGTTCGACTTCGAATACACCCACCAGTGCCAAGGCACTAGCGAAGTAACATTTTTTCGTTGACTTCGACGCTCGGAACCCCCAATTTTATGCATATCCTTTTCTATTACGCGTAGGCGACCAAAAAGCAGAAGTTGTTCTTGATGTCCTGGTGTCCAGACACAGCAAAAATCAAAAAGAAGATGCTGTATTCTTCGTCCTTCGACGCGTTGAAGAAATCTCTCGTTGGAATTCAGAAGTACATACAGGTGATGTTTGTTTTACGTCTCGATCTTCGTTGAATTGCGAGGATATTTCGTGAATCCTTGGCGTTTGATAGGAGAATTATGATTATCTCTTCGCTTTACGTGCATCAGGAACAATAGGGCCTCTTAAATTAAAAACATCTTTTTTGTATGGAGAACGCATTCGCAACACTTCCTTGTTGGTTCGAATATGAACATCTCAAGTTCAGGATACTGGCGTGTAGCAACTTCTGTTCTCCTCATCAAATGACAACATCGTAACGAATTTGGTCGAATTTTCACCCCGCGGTTGGAATGATTTTCATGGCACGGATTTGTTGAAATCGTGTTGCCGAAAAATATATTTTAGAGTACAAGAAAGTGTTCGTTTGCTGTAGTTCTCGTCATGCACTTGTGATGGTACTATTGTTGAGATAGCGATGAACGAATTTGGGCTTCTGGATCCTGATTAATATGATCGCGCAGATGTTTTCCCGTGAGGGCTGTCGAAAAAGGAGATGGGGTGGACTAGGAATCATCCGCACCTAAATGTTTATCGTTTCCACCTAGTGATGATTCATTCGAACTTGATCAGCATTTTTAGAATTCAAAATCATTTGCTTCCTTCACTGACTTCTTCCAGGTTCCTATCGCATGCGTAACTCCAGAAGGAAGGTCTAGTACTCGCAGGAGTGGCTTTGGGCCACTTCGCAATGTTTTTTTCATGTGCAGTAAGAAAATTTCCTGCGTAACGAAGGTGTTGGGAATGGGAAAAACGATTTGTTACGACAAGAAAGTAATCAAGTGGATAATTACAGTATTGTATTAGCATTCATCATTCATAATTAATTGTCGCTCATTAATAAGCGATTTGAATACTATGGTTGCTATTGGGCAGGGATTGGAAAAATCATCTCGTTGTAACCAATTATACGTTTCAATGAGATCCGTTGTACAGTAGTGGGATTCTACCGAATCTCTTGAACATAGGTTCAATATTTTCCACAAGTATGTGCTCAAGTGTAACTCGTGTTCCTAAAAAGAGGTGCTTTCAAACCCCCTTGAATCGTCCTTGAAGCGCCAACGTCTGTTCCGCCTGATTTTCGCGGTTTAACGGGGGGTGGCGGGCATCTTTCCTCAAAACCCCGGTAATAAAAAAGCGCGATGGAAAATTTTTCTTCAGGCAAAACCGGTTCTTGCCCTTCAGTTTTAGATTCCAAGGAAAACCTTGACAAGCACGAGGAAAGATTTTTCTTCCATAAAAACCGGTTCTTGCCCCTAGTTTCAACTTCCACGGAAAATCTTGGTGCTCTCCCTTCCTCTCAGGAAAGGGAAACAAGGTTGGCTTTCTGGTGCAATATGAACGTTCAGTATGAACTATCAAGTGCAGTGGAACTGTACGAATGGGATTTGCTGGAAATGGCCTCAGGGAAAACTTTGGGGGTTTCTTTTCCTTTCAAAAAATGAGAACATCAAGGTTTTCCTCTTGAACATTGGCAAATTATGGAGGGAGGAAGGAAGGTGGCTGAAAGGGGCCAGACTGTACAATGGAAACGCTCGCATGCCTTAAAGAAATCCAGGGCGCCATGCTTGCTATTGCTGTTTTTCCAGATTGAGATTCAGTACCATCTTTTTTTCATTCGCCTATTCTGTGATGGTTCAAGTGAAAAACTTTTGAAATTGAATATTTTTAATCAGAAGAAATGTGACAAATGTTTTTCATGACTAGTTAATCACAGTGATATGAAAGCGGCTCTGTTCTCCATGAACAAAGAGTGTGCAAGATCCGCTGCCTTTTTGATCTTCAGTAAGTCACTTCTCTTGCATGATGGAGGTTGCCTCAAATAAGTCGAATCTCACTTTGGAATTCAATTTTGGAACAAGGGAAAATAGAGCCAACTATGCTCAGAAACAACAGTGTGGTAGGAACATGACAATTTGTTTCAAAATTACGAATCAGTTTGGAATAGAAGCTTATGTGACTCTTTACTTGGAATAATACTGTATGTCGAAACCCACACACATGCATGATTATCTGGAAAATTTCCCTGGAGTTTTCTGATAAAATTGGTCCAAAATTTCCCATTAGAATGAAATAGAATACACACCATAACGTCTAAATTATTACTTATTTATTATCCCCCGTGAGGTGCATCCCCTTCTATCCACTCAATTTTGAGAAAAAAGGTTCACGTATTACTTGAGTAAATGCGGCAACTTGAAAATAGAGATACCTGGAACAATTTTGATAGTGGGGAGAAAAGTTCGTAATTTTAAAAATTCGTCACTTGAAAGTTCGTTTATATAATGCTCACCTCATGCTTTACCTGGACTTGTTGGGGAAAAATGATGTGCATCGTGCTCGAGTGAAAACAGTGCTCTTTTGAGTTCGTATCTTTTTTAAATCTTCGTCTAGTTGTTGCCTATGGCTAATCTGCCATACTGATCGTGCAGTCCACCACAGCAGTAATACCTTCCGACTAAAAGCTTTCTGGATCAATTTAATGTAAGGGGGCGTGGAAAATGAAGGATTGAAGAAACTCATGCTAGATCTCACCAATTTTTGAAGAAAAATATAGTAAATGTTTTTTTTTTTAATTCTATTTAAAAGCATAGTGGCCACTCTGAACATAATTTTGAGTTATTACGAAAGTTCTTCTGAATTCTCCCTGTTTTTTCAACAGCTGGCAGAATGAGAAATCATTCATGTTTATGATATTGCCGGAGTGGTTATGGTTGTTGAAGTATTGAGACCTCATCCTGTTGGATGTGTAATGAGAATTATTATTCATATTTTAATTTTCATTTACAGGCAACGGATCTGTCCGAAGCGTCAGAAGCTGCGGTGGAAGAGAAACTCCGTGCTACCGACAGGCAGTAGAGTCCGACGTGAAATCCTGCCCGTTTCTCAAATTGTTCATGATTGTGGCATTCTCTGTAACAATCGTAATATTCATCGAAAGTGTTCAGATTGCGAACCTCGCCCTTGTTCTACCCCCCCCCCCAAATTGTTTTTAATAAAAAAAACCCAGCTTAGGTTCAATGACCCAGATTAACGCGGTCCTTGGTGCATGTTCGCAGTTCCTTTGCTGATTGATGCCTTCTAATTGTTTGTTGGAACGAGGAAAATTAAAACCGCAGATTGAGCGACTGTGTGGATGAAGTGCCGTCTTTGACGAGAGTTTTGCAAGAAGGAAAGCTTTTAAAATTTTTGTTATTTTTTATTGATTTTTTCTAAGACTCATGTCCAAAACGAGTCGAGTTGTGTACACGCTTCGCGGTTGGATGGCTTTTATTGCCTTCATCCAATTTGGCACGGCCATGCGGTGTTTTGTTGAACGGGATGTTTTTCTCGGCGCTAAGAGCTACGTGGAGAACCGCGAGGATCGCGATGGTAAGTTTTTTTCGGGATTTCATTTCGATGATAGCGAATCTTGATAGTTGACATTTTTTTTCAGTGGGATTTGCGCTGTCACGAATGTACAGTATGTTCAGTATATTGCTGGCTGTCATCATCGTGCAATGTGCTCTGCACATCCACTACAAAACGTAAGGACCGTAATTCGTCTACGTTTGTTACTATTGCATCACGTAAATGCATAATTTCCTCACAATTTCTTTTACTTCGACGTCACCTCTGACTCTAGCTGTCCGCAGTACAGCAACATTTTTTGTTGTCCCTGCAAAAATGCGATTGTTTGTGTACATCCAGGAAGAATTTCTCGCTACAGTTGAACTTGATGGGACAGCAAGAAGACTTGGAGTTGAAAAAATAGCCATGTTATGAGGTGAAGGAAGAAGAATTGTAAGAAATTGTAATCGGTGTTATTCTGGGCCTTTGATTGCATTTTAAATGAGTGGACAGGATGTTGAAGTAGAAGGCAAGGGTGTATTTGTCCGATTAGTCATTCATTTCCATTCAAAACGCATCAATAACATTTTTATGCACAGTGATTTGTTTTCCGTGTTCCATTAAAATGATACGAAACGGGGTCTCCAGAAAATCCGAGTTATGAAATTTGAGGAGGAAAGTCTGAGTTCGGGAGGTATTGATGCATTGATTTTAAGAGAATTCAGACGGGGTTTTGAAAATAATGTGTAACATGGAGGTTCGAGTTATTCAGGTTCAACTGTAGGATGAATTTCATGAATCTGCGCACGGTTTTGAATTCGGAGGGAAAAGAGGCGCAACTTGCTTGTGACAGAAGTTAAGTACTGTATTCCCAGATGGCGCCTCAATTTCTCATTGCTTCGAATTGCAGTTAATTTTAATTAGGGGTTGCGTCGTTTGTTATGGACTACGCTAGGATTGTTCCCGCGACGAATATTGATTTTTCAAGTTTTTCTTGATTCATTCAAGAATTTTCAAGTTTTTCTTGAATTAGTAACGTCGACTGTGATTATGTTAGGAATTACGTTCTTTCGGTCGACTTTCGTGCTAGGATTTGTTGTAATTCTGCTTTGCGACGGATCGTTAGCTAATCACTGAAACCATTTTTTTCGTAGGAATTAATCAATTCGCTGTGTTTGTCTGCGTGCTAATCGGTGTAATTTCTTTCGTTCGCTTGACTTTCTCAACAGGATCCGGCAGTTGACGCTGATGGCTTTGGCTCTGAGTCTATCTTTCATTCTCACCGAGATTTTCTACTTCAACTCCTTCAAATCGAATGAGGTTGCTCCTTACGTGTTCGCCCTTCTTCACAGTACGTAAATTGGATCACAAATCATTGCTTCCCCTGCGTACACGTGTTTTCCGTTCCCAGGTATTACGCTGATTTGTCTTTGGGCGAGTCCGTGGTTCTTCATACCGTTGGTCGAAGATGATGACGAGAAGCTCATTAGCAAGGCTAGTGCGGGGAAACCGGGTTCTTTCAACGTTGAAGCCATGGCAAACGTTCATTTCCGATCGAGTTCGAAAACGAAGCGTTATCGGAAGAAAGAGAAGACCAAGTGAAAAGCTGCATCCGAGTTTGCTCCGGAACTACACGACTATTGAGAGTACATCCAGTGGATTCTCAGCTCGCGTTTCCGAGGAATGAATGCTGGCAAGTAAGAGAACTTCCGTTTATCGCAAGAAGCTGCGAGGCTAACAGTAGCCGTCCGGCAGCCATTACAGATCCCAAATTTTCTCTTCTTTCTTCAAGTTTCCTTCCGTGATTGCGGCATTTTCTTCGACTTTTCTCCCCAATGCGCGATTTCCTGTGGATGGCTGTGAATTCGTATGATCTCCGGAGGGCACTGATAGAGTAGTGTTGCGCACCCGCTATGAAAACGTCACTAATGTGTTCTTGTGATCTCCCGGATTTTACGATTTGAAAAAAAAACCAGAAGTGTGGAGGTGGCACAAATTTTCATCAAATTCGATTTTGAAGAGAACAATTGAATAGGTCTCGCTTTTGGTGTAGATTCTGATGACGTTAGAAAAGCTTCGATATTTCCGCTTTGAAAGGATGTGTAAATAATCGCCGGTGTGCGAAACTGTTCTCACTAAACTGAACCATTAGTCATTGAGAATTGTGCGTGTTCCAACCATTAGTCATTGAGAATTGTGCGTGTTCCAACCATTAGTCATTGAGAATTGTGCGTGTTCCTCGTAATATGTTTAGAAAGAGTTCAAAATGCCTAGTTGATCCCTGTGTTCGTGTTCACGGTAATTTTATTTTTCAGCACTCATTGGGTGCCACTCGTAATACGGCACTGTATCAACAAATGTGTTGTGTCTTCGACAACTTTAAGAGCACAGTTCAGTGACGCAAATGTGTTCTGTGACTCAGTGCCTGAATCAGTTCTGGATGCTCGGCAAGGTTAGGATTCACGGCTTTCCCTCTTTAAAAACAGTAGCCGACAATTTTGAGCGAAGCTGTGGTAATTGCTCCAAGTTGGGCAATACTCCGCTGACTTTTTATGGCCAGGCACCGGCAGTGTTACTACATCTCCTAAGTAACGAATGATGTGACGAACTTCGGTGCAAAATATGAACTTGTATCTTTCTTCCATATACGGAATAAAATATGAGGACGGTTGTTGGCATACATTCGGTTTGTTCTGAAGTGGCTAACACTTTTGATGCAACTCAAATAATTGCAAGCGATACTTCAAAACGTGCCAACTGAGTTACAGTCAGATGAGCGAGTACTGGAGTATTGGTTAAACCTTGTAGAAGTGTATCACATGAGGCACCTGATGTGTACTCCGAAGGTTTCATGATGTAACTCTAGCTGTTTCACTGATAATTCTGGGTTTCTATCGATTTGGTAAAACTCACTGAGGCATAAGTCGACACTTTGTTGTGAACTTCAAGTCGTCAATTCATTGAGTGGGACATTGCCTGTGCCACTTCTGGCTTTGGAAACTTCTGCAAAATTTGGTTCCTCATGGACCCTTCTTTCAGTCAATATTTGTGGCTGTGTTTGCAAATTCTTGTGATGGCGGCAACGTTTTCAGTAAATGAACAGTCCAAACCTCATGTCAAGCACATTCAAAAGTTCACTATGGTGCTTACACTTCAAGTCTGTCCGACGCTTATTACTGTATTGAAATTACTGACAGCCGGTTTATATTCAAAACTTCCATTCGAGTCAAAGGCCCAGAGCACCAAAGATGTACTGTTTAAAACGGTTGAACCATTCCAAGGCTCTTCTGCTTTCCGAATGAATGTTATCATTGGTTGCCATTTTCATTACCATTACATTATGCAACAAAGGGGTGTAAAATGACCATTGTGGTCAGCCTGGACAAACACTACAATGTCTAATATACTGCTGCAATTTCTTGGAAAAGTTTTTTGCATCTTGCTGATGGTTATTGTCAAATTTTCCTTTCGCATCATTTTCAATTAGACCAAACCCCATCGAAATAATTAAAGGATTGTTGCAATAGCTTTTCCTTACCTTTTCCAACCCAATCAACATTTTATCTAGCATTTCTACCATTTGTGGGTTGTATTCATTTGCAACTGGTCTTTCATAATTATTTTCATGTCTACAACCTCCGAAGTAATTCAAAATATCATGAATGCCTGCGATTACAACAATTCCTGTACAGTACCCTAAGATATCACTAGGTCTGAAGAAGTTTTTATGAAACTGTCCTTTGGCATGGACCAAAAAGGAATGGTTCTTGTTCTAGGAAAATGCTGGGCTTTCATTATTTTTAGCTTTACAGTTTTGATCACATGACATGACTGGAGCTACTGCTTTTCTCTCCCTCCTTTAATTGATGAAATAAATACGGTACTTCTGTAAAAGTTGCGCAAATGGAAATGGGACTGGACCTTTCCTTGCTGGAGTTTGAATCTTACAATCCTGCAATTCGTGATGACTTGTTTGAGGAGAGAAAAGCAAATGAAGAATCTTTATGAGAGCGTGGCCTATCAGACTAAGAATGCTTTTGTTCCAAGTGCTAGAAAGATACAGATTTGCAGTTGGGAGCCATCATACCTAGCTTCTCTATGCTCACAATTTCTAGGGTCTGAACCATGCTCTGACACATGCAACCAAAAATAATCGTACAGTACCAATTCAATTGTCATCCAATTAACCACTGCCGAACCCTTCCTGTAGATGTTTTTGGCCCTGATTTACTACTTCAAAATGAATGGTCAAGTAATTATAGCATCAGTTGTTGAGGAACATTCACAGAAATTCCTTCCAATTTACAAACGTTTTCCCTCAACTTTCTGGTAGCCGGAAATTTTGGCAACGCTCTTCGTCATGCATGTGCGAATCAGCAAGAAAAAGTTCCATGTATCATGCATGCGCGAATCGGCAGAAAAATAACTTGTGTCCCCTTGCATTTCAACGTCGGGATGACGCGCGATTCTGTGCGCAATTTTTGCTGGTGCATGCTGAAGAAGACGATAGGGAAGGAAAGGGCAGGCTCATGTTTTGCTTCTCATGGAAAGCCGAAAAAAATCTGTTGGTCATCCAGGGGCAAATCACTTTTTTTTTGGAATTTTTTTTATGAAGGAAATTCATGCTCAATAAGTTTGGGCAATTGAACATTTTCAAAATGATACCCCTGTTCGCGGATTTGTTCCAAATGGCATATTTGAATAATGCACAGCCTGATTTGAATACTAATGAGAGAGAAAGAAGAACAGTATTGGTTTCCAGTCTTTATTATTTTTTGTTTTAGAATATTCGATGATGTGAGAAGTAAGAAACATTTTGATTCAAAGGCTAATGATAAAGTGTCGATCTTTTGTTCAAATATGCCATGTTCACTTTTTCATTCCTTTTCATGGAGCAGATTTCAGGAAAATGCAAGTACAGCGCAGTGCGGGTTTTACTGGAATATAACATGAACATACTGTTGAAGGACTGGGATGGTAGGAACAGTGTTCGGACAGAAGTGCGGCCTAAATTTGCATGAAAACGATGATGCAGATCAGGGCCGTGCCGCCTTTGGCGGGTTCCGACTCCGGCCTGCAAGGGATTCCCAACTGAACAACTAAATGTTTGCTCAAATGGTACCTCAATGCCGTTTTCAACTCAATTTTTGGGAATTTCTCATCTTTTTTTTAAACGTAGTTCTCCGAAGCTGTACATCTACATTCAAGATGACAAAGTAGTTTGAATCATAAAGCTTCATCATTTTGCTTTTGCAATTTTTTCCCGAAGATAATTTTTCAGCAGTCCATTATCCATCTTGGAGGATATAAAATATAATTTTTTATGAACCAGGAAATAATTGGAATATATCTTCGTTTCTGAGAATCTCCTCTTCTATATTTTATGAGAATTTTGCTCAAATCAGCCCAAGATGATTATTGATGTTGTCCCTAGAACCTCAAATGATTGTGGAGAGCCGTTTTGTGAGAGAACAAGTGAATTGATTGCTGCTTTGTCAGTGAACCGTCGTTTTTAAAATATGCTCGAGATTTAAAAAGCCATACCTTATGATTCGAAATAACCATGCAAAAGTGTCTAATTTGCCATCAATAACTAAAAGATTTTGTAATGGCAAATTCCATGGTAATCGTAATTAACATCCTCTACATTTCAAATAAGTGGAAACGTATTGAAATGATTCAATCTACGTTGGAAATTGTACAACTTGAAAGACAAAAATTTGGTCTGGAAGGTTCCTCTCCCTCTCTCTCGGCCATGCATGATTGGCAATCGCGATGGTGACGTTGCTGGTTCAAATCGGAGAATGACACAGCCAGAAAAGAAAGAGGAAAGATGCGCAAAAAATCGAGGCAAGTGGTGTCCGTGGCAGTGTGCGAAGATGTGGAATGAAAAAAGACGGGGGGGGGGGGAATGCTTTGGCAAAAATTTCTCCCTCCATGGTTTTAAAAAGCAGACGTCGTCGACGGGTCTTGCGTGTACTCGGCCGCTCGCTCTCTTCCACAACGGAACTCCCCCCGAGGGGAAATGGGAGGCGTTGGTGGTGTACAATAGTGTATAGTACAGTACATTGCTGTACTCTACAGTATTTGGCCCCACGCTAGAACTTAGTCAGTTCGCTCAAATCGCTGTAGTCTTCGTCGTCAGCACTCGATCAATCCCTCCTGTCCCCGCTCGCACTTGTGCGCGAGTCCTCGCGAGGCCAACGACTCACTCACTCACTCCGTTTTCACACTCCCTCCACTTTCCCGCTGTGCTTCCCTCCCCCTGTCGCATGTTCATCGAGAGAGAGAGAGAGGAAGAAGAGATATGAAAAATAAAATACTACATAGTACCAAGCTCGAAGGAAAAACTACCTAGTAATTACTATACGCGAAAACCGAAAGGGCTCTCGGGTTTCAGTGGGCGTAGGAAAGCGTGTTTTGTGAAAACGAGGAGCGATTAAAATAAAGGAAACGCATCTGGGCCTAAATTTCTTGCTGCATTTGCTCTGGCAACACCCCATGCACTCGCTCACACGCACGTGTCGCCGCCGAGTTAGGCTTTTCGTCGCAGGAGGTTGTAGGGTTACTGAACAGCAAATCTCGGGTATCGAAACCTCTCG